AGGGTAGTTCTGATGGTGCGCTCAGCCAAGCGGACCACCCTCCTCAGGCCAAGAAGTCCTGCTGGGTGCTGCTGCCCATCCAGGTGGTGATGCTCCCAGCCAAAACACTCTCAAGGTGTAGGTGTAAAAGTTCCTAAGTACCTTGAGAGGGAGCTTGAAGTCCCTCAGGCATCTGAGGAGGTAGAGATGCTGTCGAGCCTTCTTCACCAGGGTGTGAATGTGACAGGAACACGTCAGATCCTGGCGATGTTGACACCCAGGTATTTGAAGCTCCACCTCTGTTCCGCTGATCCTGAGTGGGTGGTAAGCCCTCTGCTCCTCTTGCTGTAGTCCACAATCAGCTCTTTAGTCTTGCTGATGTCATGGCCAGGTGGCTGTAGGAACGTGTGTGCGGGACCCAAACAAGAGGGAGACGAGTTAAGAAGGTAAACAGGTTCATTGGGGAATCCAGGGGCGTGAGACCAGGAGGCAGGTGAGGGATCCAGGGGTCCACAGTGCAGCAGGAAAACCAGTGGTGAGGGTGGTGTCTAGTGCCGGTGCTTGTGAGGGGAGAGGTGAGGTCTGCGTGGTCAGCGTGAAGGCTGGTGCGGAAATCTTGAACGGTTGGAATGGAGGAGACGCTGGAATCACACAGAGAGAATGCAGGTTGCTGGAGAACCTGAAATTGAGCACAAGAGAAGGCTTAGTTAGCACAACTAAGTGGCCTGAATGTATCACGTATTGGGTAGGCAATCGTTTGGCGCTGGAGCACAAGTGAAGAGTGGCTTTATCCAGCAGGCTGATTGGGATGATGCGCCGCAGCTGTGGCAGAGCATCCTCCTCCAAATTAACCCCGCCCATCCCAAAACTCAGAAACCAGCCTTCCACACAAAAGACACAATCACAAGGAAACATGCACACCAACTAAACATGTCCATATCATTGGGAGGACCAATTGGACGGACAAAGGATTGATAGTTTTATCAATAGGAAAAGGTCCCGTGTAGCAGGGAGAGAGCTTGGTCTGTAGGGGCAGGTCCCAGGTCGACATCCACACCTGCTGGCCAACCCTGTATTCCGGTGCCGGGGAGCAATGGAGATCCATCAACTGCTTGTTGCGCTCGGCAGAGCGAGTGAGAGTTGCCTTGGCATTCCTCCAAACTCCACGGATCCGACGTAAGTGGTCCTCCATCGAAGGTACGGCCACCTCCTCCTCCTGCTCAGGGAATAAAGGTGGCTGGAAACTGTTGCAAATCGTAAAGGGTGACATATCTGTGGCGGAACTTGTGAGTGAGTTGTGCGCATATTCGACCCAAGGCAGATAAGTGCTCCAACAAACCGGGTGATGAGCGGCCACACAGCGCAAAGCCACTTCTAAACTCTGGTTAGCCCTCTCTGTCTGTCCATTTGTCTGAGGATGGTAACCAGAGGAGAGGCTTGCTGTTGCGCCTACCACTGTGTGTGACAAATAGGTCTAAACAGTGTGACTTGGGTCGGATCCTGTGTCAGACTGATCCACTCTCCATGCTTTGTTAAGGATAATTTATCATTTTAAGAATTTCATGAAGTTACCAGCGCTGCTCTTCCATGAGTGAGTGTGCACAACTAGGTCCAATCTAGTCTCCACCGCTGGCATAAATTTTATGGAAATGTGACTTGGATGTGCATTCAGACAGCTAGCATGCTCATTTGCCATCCGATTAATGGAATCCATCTGAAAGGAGCTTTTGGCAAGTACCACCTATCCAAATTTTGTTGTGGACCAAATACCGCCCCCCTGGCAGGGAGCTATACTTGTGTGTGTTTGTTCTGAGTACTTTATCCTTCACTAAATCCATTCCTGTTTTGTTACTTTCACCACAAATTTGGTCTGTAGTGTCAGTGTTAGGCCAAAGCCTGCCACACATTGTCCTATTTTTTTTAGCTGTAGTTTGGTTCTTGAACCTTGTTGTAATAAATTCCTTTGCTTGTACTTGGTTGCTTGTGATTCATGTTTGCACCTGGGTTGTCTAAGTAGCCATGACACTCCCCAACATCAGTGGCCTTTCCTACAGGACAACGAACCCTACTTCGCAGCAAGAGGTGCCTAGGAACAGTTCAAAGAACATGAAGAAGAACCCAAACCATTGTCCCATGCTCAAAACTCCCCATATCCCAATCTGTTCAAGTATCTACAGTCCACTTATTGGAGCCCTCCTCTAATGTATGCATTTCATACATCTGTGACATAAGGGTTTAGTAGCTTCTGCTCTGTTTTTTTTTTTTCAGCCACAATATAACCATGCTGTTTTAAGCCAAGTTGTTGAAGTTGGTGGGGGAAAAAAGCAAGCAGAAAAGTTTTTAGTCAATGTAAGATCTCAACCTTTAACAGTGAAGTCTTTGCCACATTACAGGGATTCACAATATTGTATGAAGTAACATAAGGACAAGACAAGAAATGGAAATACACTTTAAAAATTGGCTTAGCAGACATGTTGGTCCAGCACATAAGCAGGTCATAAGACGAATGAAGTAGAAATGGACCTTTCTCAACTGGACATCTATGGAAGGCTTCTGTTGTCAATTGAGATGGAAACAAGAGCAATAAAGTTATTCAATAACATAATGCTTTTTGAGAAGCAATTATTTAAATTATTTTAATAAACTACTTAGAATCTGTAGGCTCAAAAGTCGACTTTTCTCTTTGCTTCATGCTTCTTTCACATTATACAGAAGATTGTTAGGACCAATTTTCCTTAACTTTACTTTTCTTTCCAGCACTGTACTTCAAAAACAATACTTGGAGCCACATATTTCTCCTCTCCTCTGGAAAAACAAGATGAGGAGAAATTCTCTCTGGTCTTGTTTTACCAGTTCCAATACCATTATTGCAAGTTAGCTGTTCCACTAGTTACACAATAAATTGCTCTATTTGAAAGTACTACCAAACTGAATGTGATGAAGGACTTGGTCAGAGAGAATCATCTAAGACGTGGGATATTTGGTAGCGAGGGATGTCAGCGTGTGTGAGCTAGTGTTGACATTGTGATATTGCTGACCTATGACCCATATGTCTGTCTTCAGAATGTGGATCCAGGCCTCAGTACAGCACTCGTATTGTTGGAGGTAATATCTCCAAACCGGGCCAGTTCCCGTGGCAGGTCAGCCTCCACTACAAGAGTGAACACCTGTGTGGAGGCTCTATCATAACGTCACGCTGGATCCTCACTGCAGCGCACTGTGTATACGGGTGAGTCAGCAAATCAGACTTGAATAATCTACACACCGCACAAACATACAAAAGTCAGGAGAGATAGATACAGCACCACCACCACCATAGACTTTATATAAATATGGACAGCCCTTCAGTGATGTCATTTATAGGTTAATGGCTGTCTTCTTCTCACCATCTTGGTAGTGCCTGACTCCTCCAACTCCTGGCTAATTTAAAAATTAACAAAAAGGTAGAGCATTGAGTGGAGCTGCGGAGGGTCATGCAAACAGCTCCGAGCCATGGACTGTCATATGACAGCCCCCACCTGTCAGTCAAAGCAACACAGTTTTTAATTATATACCCTTAACTATATTCCATCCATCCATCCATTTTCTTCCACTTATCTGGGGTTGGGTCGTGGAGGCAGCAGGCGGAGCAGGTCATTCCAGACTTCCCTCCCCCCCCCCGGCGATGCTTTCCAGCTCTTCCTGGGGGATCCCGAGGCGTTCCCAGGCTAGCCGAGAGATATAATCCCTCCAGCGGGTCTGGGTATGCCCCGAGGTGTCCGACCAGGTGGACATGTTGGGAAACCTCCAGAGGAAGCCTCCCCGGAGACATCCGAAACAGATGTCCATACCACCTTAATTGGCTCTTTTCGACGCAAAGGAGCAGCGGCTCTACTCTGAGCTCCTTCCGGATGTCCGAGCTCCTCACCCTGTCTCTAAGGCTGAGCCCAACCACCCTGCGGAGGAAGCTCATTTCGGCCGCTTGTATCCGCGATTTTGTTCTTTCAGTCACGACCCAAAGCTCGTGACTATAGATGAGGGTTGGGATGTAGATGGACTGGAAAATCACGATGGTCCAGTACAGTGCTCGCATTATGGCTGACGCTGCACCGAGCTGCCTGTCCACCTCACGCTCCATTTTCCCATCACTCGTGAAAAAGATCCCAAGATACTTAAACTTCCTCGCTTGAGGAAGCAATTCCTCCCCACCCAGAGGGAGCAATCCACCGATTTCCAGCAGAGGACCATGGCCTCGGACTTGGAGATACTAATCCGTATCCCCGCCGCTTCGCACTCGGCTGCAAACTGCTCCAGTGCGAGCTGAAGGCCACGGTCTGATGAAGCCAGCAGTACCACATTGTCTGCAAAAAGCAGAGACGCGATCCTGAGGTCCCCAAACCGGACACCCTCCTCTCCTCACCCTGGCTGCGTCTTGAGATCCTGTCCATGAAGACCACAAACAGGATCGTGGACAAGGGGCAGCCCTGGCAGAGTCCAGCACCCACTGGGAACGTGTCTTACTTATTAACTTATTGCCGAGAATACGGACACAGCTTGTAATTTGGTTGTACAGGGACCGCCAGGCTTGTAGCAGCGAACCTGGCACCCCATACCCTCCCTCAGTACCCCCCACAGAGTTCCTCGGGAAACACGGTCATAGGCCTTCTCCAGATCCACAAAGCACATGTGGACTGGCAGATCGAATTCCTATGTCCCCCTCAGCAGCTCTGCAAGGGTAAAGAGCTGGTGCATTGTTCTACAACCAGGACGGAATCCGCATTAGTGATGTGCAGATCGATACTGAAATATCGATACTTCTGATACAAGATCCTTATGCTCCAAAATCAATTCTCAAATCAAAATATCAATACTTTTGATACTTCAGTCACTTGAGGTAATGTATATCATTACCAGGAGCACAATGGAAAGTAACTAAACTATTGAGATCTTGACAAAATGACAAGCGGTTGGTGGGAACTACTTTTTCTTCCGCCTGAGTAAGTGCGTAATGTGTAATGTGTAATGTGTAATGCGTAAGCGCGGCGGCACACTGCTCAGTCAGTCAGTCTGGCAGAGCGTAAACAGAGTCAAACAGCCAAGACGCAGTTTGTGATGCTTGTGGGAAAACGGTAAGGAGTTTTGGCAACACAAAAAACTTTGTGAAACACCTCAAGTTAAACCACAACACAGAATACAAGACATTTCTGATGAGACGGACAGAAGAGGAGAGCACGGTCAGGTGCTGATGCTAGGGCAGGACGTCTCTGGAGGAGTCCTTCAGTGCTGCAGGCAGCACTGTCCAGGTACAGAGGGAGGACGGGTGGAGCTTTACGCGGTGTTAAGCACTGTTGCTGTGTGAGTTGTTCAAATGAATAAATATAGTTATGAAATAGGTAGCTAAATAAATATATGTTTCAACAAATAGCTGCATGAGTTCGACTTGGAATAATAATACGTGTATCACTGAGATAATCTTACATAGGCCAAAAAGCCTAGATTTATTCAGGTAAGGTTTCCTAAAGAATTGATCATTTAAAGTGGATTACATAAACTAGGTGTCATTGAATTATACAGAGCAATTGCGATAAAATGTAACTATTATTATTTACAATCAGTCTATTTTGCTTGAACTGTTAAATGAATTTTCTCAAATGTAGGTATTGACAAATTTGTGTAATTATTGTGGCATTTATTATATATGTTCTCTGTTTGGGTTTTTTGTTGTTGTATTAGCTTGGCTATATTGTAAATGAGGCCACTACCTCAATATCCATCCATTATCTATATACCGCTTAATCCTCACTATGGTCGCGGGGGGGCTGGAGCCTATCCCAGCCAACTTAGGGCGAAGGCAGGGGACACCTGGACACGTCGCCAGTCCATCGCAAGGCTACACTTAGAGACAGACAACCAAGCACACTCACATTCACACCCATGGACAATTTAGAATCACCAATTAATCTCAACATGTTTTTGGACCTTGTGGGAGGAAGCCGGAGAACCCGGAGAGAACCCATGCTGCACGGGAGAACATGCAGAAGGATTCCGGTGCCCCCACTGGGACGGGAACCGGCAACCTTCTTGCTGCGAGGCAACAGTGCTAACCAATTGCGCCACCTTGCAGCCCCTACCTCAATTTATAAATTTAAAATGAATAAATAAATAAGTTACTCTGATGTCTTATATAATTATGAAGCTATTATTTGAAATACATTACTTTTATTAGATTTACCACACATTAGGTGTGTTTGCACAAAGTATCGGTATCGGATTGGTATCACCAATGCCAGCCTTCATTTTACTTATCGGACAGCAAACCTTAATAATGCTGTGTTCTTCTGAGTGACCACACAGTCATAGGTGAAGAGGGAGTAGAGCATTGGACTCAGCACACAGCCTTGGGAGCAGCCTGTGCTTAACTTTCTGATGCCAGATAACCGGTCCCCAACTCTGACCAACTGAGGTCTGTCAGAGAGGAAGTCCAGCACCCAGATACAGAGGGATGGTGTCAGAACAAGGAGGAGGAGCTTCTCACACAACCTCAGAGAGACGACAGTGTTAAATGCTGAGCTGTAATCAACAAACAGCATCCTCACATATGAGTCCGCCCTCTCGAGGGAGAGAACAGTGTGAAACGCAGCATTCACAGCATCGTCAGTAGAGCAATTCTGACGATACGCCTACAGTGATGGTTTGAGCGTGGGGGGTACCATGTTCTTGATGTGTGCCATGACTCTCCTCTCAATGCACTTCATCACAATAGGGGTGAGTGCAATGGGACGATAGTCATTGAGACACTCAACAGGGGATTTCTTTGGGAGGGGCACAATGGTAGTTGATTTGAAACAGGAGGGAACACTCGCTCTGGCCAGGGAAAGGTTGAAAAACATCTGTGAAGACATCATCCAGCTCTGACAAACAGGCTCTGAGCACGCGGCCCAAGATGGTGTCTGGGCCGGGGGTTATTCCGGCCCATAGCCCAGCGCACCTCCACTGATGTCACTGACAGAGGGGCATCCTGTATGTTGTTGATGATGATTGGCAGCTCCTCTGGGAGTAGAACTCGTTGAGCTGATCTTCTAGTCCCGCCTGGCTGGATGTTGACCATGAGCTCCTCTGCCTGTAGCCAGTGATGTGCTGACGTCCTTGCCACATGCTCCTTGAGTCTGAGGTGGTGTAGTAGTCCTCAAGTTTCAGCCTGTAGTGCTTCTTGGTTTGCCTGACGGATCTCTGCAGGTCGTATCTGGCCTTGTTTTTATCTGTCAGAGTCACCAGAAGCAAAATCAGCAGAGCGAGCATGCAGCTTGGACTTCAACTCTCCATTAATCCACAGCTTGTTGTTGGGGTAGCTCCTGCAGCGTTCTGTCGGAATGATGTCTGTGCAGGTGCTGATGTATCCAGTCACAGCAGCAGCATACTCCTCTTGAGCCACAGAACAGTCTCCTCTCTGAGCTGCAGATCTAAACACTGTCCAGTCTGTGCTCCCTAAGCAGTCCTGAAGAAAAGTCTGCTCCAGTTCCTCATTCCAAACTTTGAGGGTCATGCTCACAGGAGGGGATATCTTGAGTAGCTGTCTGTAGGCAGGATACAAAAACACAGAGAGATGGTCTGAAAGTCCAAAGTGGAGGGGGGGCACTGCTCTGTAAGCGTCCTTCACGTTGCAGTAGACTTGGGGAAAGGTGTTTAAAGCCCTTGTAGCAAAGTCTACATGCTGATGGTGCTTGGGAAGGACTTTCTTCAGGGTGCAGTGGTTGAAATCACCAGCAGTGATGAAAACAGCATCCAGGTGGAGAGTTTCATGCTTGCTGATGAGTTCCAGCAGCACCCGAGTGCAGTCACATGATCGGCTCACGGCGGAATGTAAATGGTGAGCAGAAAGATACCGTTGAACTCCCTCGGTAGATAGAAGGGTCTGCACTTAAGCATTAGCAGTTCAATGTCTGGAGAACAGTGCCTTTCGGTTACGTGGACATCTATACACCATCTGTCGTTCACATAAGCACATAAACACTCCTTCCCTGCTCTTCCCCGAGGCCAACATGCGGTCTCCGCAGTGCCCACTCATGTTTAAGGTCCCTCAAGATCTGATGACGATTCCTGACACAGAACGGATGAGTGCACGGTCATCTCGTGGGTAGAAAAACGTTTCCTGCCACAACCAGCTGCATGAAGAAGGAAGTTCTTCCTCTCGAAGCAGAACCGTAAAGCTCCACTGAAGTTTGCTGCTGATCGCATGGACAAAGAAAAGACCTTCTGGAGGAAAGTTCTGTGATCAGATGAAACAGAAATTGAGCTTTTTGGCCACAATGACAAGAACAATGTTTGGAGGAGAGAAAGTGAGGCCTTTATCTACCATCAGGCATGATGCTGGCAGTATCATGCTCTGGGGCTGTTTTGCTGCCAGTGGAACTGGCAAAATGGAAAACTGGAAAATTGAGTATTACCTCCATGTTCTTCAGGAAAACGTGGATGCAGTTTGATGTTTCAACAAGACAGTGCTCCCAAACACATCAGGAATGGTGACATACTGCTTAAATCAAGCTAGAATTAAAGGTTTCAGACGGGCCTCCCCAAAAATCCTGACTTAAACCCCATCAAGAACCTGTGGACTGTGATACAGACACAAGTCTGTCAGAAAGCAAACTAATTTTGTTCAACTGTGCCATTTCTGTCAATATTAATGGTCAAAGATACAACCACAAGCTTGTCAGAAGCTTGTGGTAGGCTACCAAAAGCATCTCGTAGAGCTGAAAATGTTTCTTTTATATCTTTTATGACAAGAGGCTTACAGAAGTCATTGGAAACTCAAAACTGCCGTAATATACATGGTCTTTACAGGTGTATGTAAACTTTTGTTCACGACTATATATTTAGGAAGAGTTCATTTACATTAACAAAACATGAACATGCAACAACTTTTCCACCGTTGCCTGAGAAAGAAAAGTGGTATATTTTGTTGGGCAGTTATCTCTTTATATATAGTGACAGAAATATTGCGTTTTCTTGGAAAATGGCCTCCTGTTTGTGCACAGGTTTGAAGATTCCTCACTGTGGGCGGTCCATGTGGGACTGACGGAGCAGCTGATCCATGGAGCCCAGTCTCTGACTGTGGAAAGTATCGTATACCATTCTCGCTACCGGCACAGAGGACTGGACTACGACATTGCATTGATGAAACTGGCCAGGCCCCTTGTTTTTAATGGTATTAGAGTCCTTTTTCAAGAACATGCTGTGTCCAAACTTGCTCATTCATGCACATAGTTCAAGGTGTCAAGTTCTCCACTGTAAAAATTTTATTATCAGACTCAAGTGGCAAAAGACCTCTGAGAAATTGTTCATTCTTACATATTTTTCTAAATTAAGTTCATCTTCTTTTAAATGTACCTGACACATACTACTGTAAGTGGATACATCACCATTTGGATGCACTTCAGTGCAAACAACAAAAACAGAACACATCACAGTTACTATAGTAAACGTATACATCATCATTAAAATATACTTTATTGCGTACAACAGTATGCGAATGTTGTACTGTTCATATGTATTTCACTACATTAAACAGTAAGTCAGCACATCATAGTTTACATGCTTCAGTATTTATCGCAGTAAGCATAATACCAGCTGATGTATTATTGTATTACTATACTGTATTATAGCTACATTTTGGTGCCAGACTCCCTGATAAGATCACAAAGGTTTAAAGCAGGGGTGTCAAACTCCGGTCCTCGAGGGCCGCAATCCTGCAAGTTTTAGATGTTTCCCTCTTCCAACACACCTGATTCAAATGATCAGGATCATTATCAGGCTTCTGCAGAGCTTGATGATGAGCTCATCATTTGAATCAGGTGTGTTGGAAGAAGGAAACATCTAAAACATACAGGATTGCGGCCCTCGAGGACCAGAATTCGACACCCCTGGTATAAAGTTTAGGTAAAAACAGCCTATGCCACCTTTAAGTGAAATTCTTGTACATTTTGTCTTATTTCCCCATTTACCCTTGCAGTTAGCCAACACGATTGTTCCAGCATACTACATTCTGTGTGTGCTTTTAGTCTGGCTCAGATACATGTCCAAATGATTAATGGAGAGCTACTGGAAAGCTACGCAGCTTACACTGATATACTTCACTATACAATACAGATCAAAAACTACTTTTCACTTTAACAAAAAAAAAAAATTTAAAATTCCTACCTTACAGCTCTTCTACCCTGTCCTTGCTTTACTCCTGTGAAGTGACTGCTTCTTTTCCAAAGTATTACCCACAGTTGTGCACAGTGTGTATGTGATACTCTTGGAGGTGCAGTTCATTAGCTTTCTCTTCTGTAGGCCTTGTGGAGCCCATCTGCCTTCCCAACTATGGAGAGGAGTTTACGGAGGGCACCATGTGCTGGATCTCTGGCTGGGGAGCAACAGAGGAAGATGGTAAGTCTGAATGTGGAAAATAAATTATTTCTAGTCTCACTTAGCCACAGCTACATTTTTAGTTGGTAGGGCGGCTGTGGCTCAGGTGGTAGAGCGGTTGTCCTCTGATCGTAAGGTTGGCAGTTTGATTCCCGCCCCCTCCACAGTCGAAGTGTCCTTGGGCAAGACACTGAATCCGAAGTTGCTCCCAATGGCAGCCTAGTGCCTTGCATGGCAGCTCTGTCGCCGTTAGTGTATGAATGTGTGTGTGAATGGGTGAATGAGAAACATTGTAAAGCGCTTTGAGTGCCGCAAAGGTATATAAGTATATAAGTGCAGACCATTTATCATTTACCTCATCCCACTCCAACCCAACCAGTCGAGGCAGATGGCCTCCTTTCCTGAGCCTGGTTCTGCCGGAGGTTTTTTTTCCACCCTCTCTTGGGGGGGTTTGGTTCCTTTCTGTGACGGCCCAAGCTCTGTAGCAGGAAAGGCCGAACGAAAGGGGAGGCAGGAGAAACAGGTTAAAGGAAATAGGTTTATTAAACAAGGTGAGGGAGTGGAGGACACCAGGTGGAGGAATCTGGTGCCAGTCGAGGGGGTGCAGGAAGGAATTCATCCGTGCTGAGGTCCGTGAAGGGAGTGCTGCCGAGGCTGTGCCGGGGAGGGAGGCGTGGAGGAGGATTCCGAGGACGGTGCGTGCAGGAACGGTGCTCAGGGAACGGTGCTCGTGGATAATCTTCCCGTTGTAGGTGCTCGAAGAGAGATCCTTCTTGTAAGGGTGCTCGTGACCGTGGATTCCGTAGAGTGGGCTGGTGGACGATAAGGCTGGAGAACTGGAGCCGAGGAGGGACGCTGGAGGCACACAGAGAACCACGAATTAACTCGAAACTCGAAAACACAAACTTAGCTTGAGGCTCAACAAAGTGTAGCAGCTAAGCGGCCTGACTGTACCACTGGGGATGTATCACAATCATCTGGCGCTGGAGTTCTGTGAGACGCTCGTATTTGAGGTCCTCCGCTGATGAGTCGATGAGCCACAGCTGCCAGCGCGAGAGCGTTCTTCCCCGATTGGCTCCGCCCAGCCTGCAGAGAAAAGCCACACGCCCACCAAAGACACAGAAAACCAAAACACAGAACATGCTCCATAACCCTCACACTTCCCACCACTGCCAACCGCTTGCTCAGAGGCAGTCAAAAGGCTACTTTGGATTGTTGGGTTCTCTGTTTAAATTCATAAGGTCTATACCTTACTTTGTTAAGTGCTATGTGATGACATATGTTGTAAACTGCGCTATGCAAATTGAATTAAATTGAATTGAATTGAACTGAATCTCCATAATCCTCCGGACCTCCACATTGGATTCCTCTGCAGCTGCACTCACCATCCCTGCCCACTGATCCCAGCCCCATTCATTGTTCACATTGATTCATATTTAGTGTCTAGTTGTATTTCCTTTGTTTGGCCAGCAGATGACCTGCTTGCTCTTCACTAGTTTACATTCTATTTTTGCATTACCACCGCCCAGTCCACAGAGGTCCCACTAGTTCAATACAGTGGTGTGTAAACTGTTTTCTATTTCCATTCCCTCTATCATTTATTGTAAATAAATCTTTTATTGTTTGAACCCTCGCTTCTGTTACCATTTAGGTACCTGCCAATCCTTTCTGACACAAGTGTCGCTCGTTTTTGATCTACAGCCTCTGTCTTATTCTACCGATAGGGCTAAAAAAGCTTATTTAGTGAGTTTATTGAAAGGCTCAGCTTGAGAATGGGGGATGGCTGTGTGGGAAAGTCAGTCAGGATTATGTGCTTCATATGATGCCTTTGTAGCAGAAATGAAGAAGGTGTTTGATCATCCCCTTCGTGGCAAAGACGCTGGCAACCGGCTAAACACCCTGAAGCAAGGGACCAGAAGCACAGCTGCGTTCTCAGTGGAATCCCGAACCCTGGCAGTAGAAGGTGGCTGAAATGGCACGACTCTACAGGGAGTGTTCTATAAAAGATTGAATGAGTCCTTGAATAACGAACTAGCCACCGGTGACAACGTTTCCAGCTTTGAAGCCATCATTGTTATGGCCATTCGTCTGGATAATCGGGTGAGAGAGAAAAGGAGGGAGCAAATGCAGCATTCCAGCTCCACTGTCATCAGCCAGTCCAGTTCCACCAGGCCTCCACTGATCGTGTCACAGCCTGCCAAGCCTGTTTCTGAGCCCATGCAGATTGGCTGTGCACATCTGACTCAGCAAGAGAAAGACCAGAGTCGAGCTAATAATTCCTGCCTGTACTTACTGTGGTAAGAATGGCCATTACATCGCTAACTGTCCTTTTCGACCAATAAAAGGACAGGCTCACCCGTAACTGAGGGAATACAGGCAAGCCGCACCTCTACAACATCCTTCAAGAGGCTTCAGTTGGCAGCATCACTCTGTTGGCAGGCCCAGTCCCTACCTGTTTCTGCATTGGTTGACTCCAGGGCAGATGAGAATTTTTTGGACAGCAAGCTGGCCAGGCAACTCTGCATTCCTACCATTTCTTTGGACAATCCTCTTGAGGCCTGACCTCTGAACAGACTGCACCTGGCCTAAGTTTGCTTTACGACGGTTCCAGTGACACTAGTCTTGGCTGGCAACCATCAGGAGGTTATAATGTTCCACCTTATCGACCAGCGCAATCCTCTGATGTTGTTGGGATATCCCTTGTTTCATCTGCATAACCCAGTGATTGATTGGAACAGGACCACAATGCCATGCGAGCTGTCTTTATTTCGTCCTGATCCTGGTAAAGTCCAGTTCTGTTCCAGTCCCAGTTAAATCTGTTGATCTTTCCCTTGTGTCCCAAGTTTATTATGACCTGGCTGCAGCTTTTAGCAAAGGATGATGCTTTATCCCTGTTTCCCTAACGGTTCAGGAACTCAGGCGCAGACGACAGAGACACGGCAGACAGCCAGATAAATGCAGAAGTGAATTTATTTACAAAATGTGGTGCAAATATTTACAGTGAATCAGAAAAACTCAGAAACTAAATGGTGAACTACAACTAGAGCTAACTTAACAGAGCGACAGGAAAACAAACCTAAACACATGAGCGCTATCTAGCGATACGGCGGACTGACAGACGGAGAAACAAGCTAAACCAAAACCTGAGCACGGAACAGCAAACAATAAGCAAAAACCAACACTATTTACACTATTTACACTATTTACAAAACCTATAGTTGACTGTCACCTGACAGAGCAGCGTAGGGAAAAGGGAAGGGGGTCCAGGCTGACGGGAGCAGGAGATGAGGAGCTGTAGGCAGCTGAGCACGCAGCGGACTGAGGTGGAATTATCTCCGCTCTTTGACATACAGGTGGGGATGGCAGACTGAGGTGAAATTGTCTCTGCTCTTCGGCATACAGCTGGGAACAGCAGACTGAGGTGGAATTGTCTCTGCTCTTCAGCTTGCAGCTGGGGACGGCAGACAGGCAGGTGAAGGTCAGACTGAAGGCACGACTGACGAGGTTCAGACTCAGACAGGGCTGGAACTGACGGGTTCAGCAGACAAACTGGAGAATGGTCCGGCAACGCTGGTGGATTCTGCTGCAGCTTATAAAGGGCAGGTGTTGGCACTCAGGCTCCCACCGTCATCATAGTGATTGCCAACACCTGCTGCCACCAACCGTTGCTGCCCCAGGGCATGCCCTCCTACAGGGCTCAAGCTGAGTGGAGGAGAGAGAGTGACTGCCAGCACGCAGGTTTCAGAGGTGGGCGTGACACTCCCCATCGACCATACGATAGACTTCTTGCCCTTGTGCACATTACCAACTAGCCGCCTTTACAACCTGTCCAAACCCAAACAAGCCACCATGGAGAAATACATCAATGAGTCCCTCGCCGCTGGGATTGTTCGACCATTCTCGTCACCAGTGAAAGCAGGATTCTTCTTTGTGGATAAGAAGGACAAGACACTCTGTCCCTGCATTGACTTTTGTGGCATCAACGATATCCCAATTAAAAAGATCTACCCCCTGCCACTCATCAACTCTGCCTTCACTCCACTACATGGGGCTTCTGTCTTCGCGAAACTGGATTTAAGAAATGTATACCATGTGATCCGCATTTGTCAAGGAGACGAGTGGACGACAGCCTTTAGCACACCGCTTGGACATTTCAAACACCTGCTAATGCCCTTTGGACTAACCAATGCATCCACTGTCTTTCCGAACCTCATAAATGACATCCTCCACAACATGATGAACCGGTTTGTGTTTGTTTACCTGGACGACAACCTTATCTACTCCAGATCCCCTGAAGAGCATGTTTCCCATGTCTGTCAAGTGTTTGAAAGGCTGCTAAAAAATAGTTATTTGTCAAGACAGAAAAATGTGAATTTCATGCTGTGCTTTTCAGGCACCAACTCTTTGCTGGGCCAGGGGCTGGGGACGGGGTTATTGTCACCACCGAGACCGATGAATGAGACACACAAGCGGTGATTTGTGTTGTTTGTAGCCAGGACGTCCCTGGTCTAATTATAGATGTATTGGAATGAGTCCCGGGACACGCGGAACTGTTTCACACTGAAAGCCGGTACACTTGTGTCCCACCAGTAGCACCACAGCGGTAGTCGCACACCAGTCTGAGCACTGTAGCTACCAACAGCAGCTACCGCAGCCTGCTATGTGGGAAGTTCGGGGAACACTGTAAATTGTAGTCTATCGATAAGAAAATGTTTACAAGTCATATGTTTTGTCTGTGACAAGATGGGAAGTGTGACCAAATGACAAAGTTGGTCACACCAGTAAAAAAAAAAAAATGTCTGATGTCCTGTGTGTACTTTGGTGTGGCACGAGTGTTGTTCAGCTACGAATGCAGTGACGTATGGCATGGCTCTAATTTGGCTCCTTGCTGATGGAAAAGCAACCAGTTCTTTGGAAGTGCCAGATTTGAACTAACTAAGCACTGGCCCTAGCACCGCCATGGAGCTGGCACCTGATTCTTTTGGAAAAAAGGTTCTTGAAGCTGTCTGCCGTGAGGGATT